ATGATGTGTGTGTGTGTACGTGTAAAGAAGAACCTTCCATGGCACTCTGGCTGGCATAGGATATTCAAATTTTGTCTCTACCCCAGGTGCCTGGTACAGCTCCATCTCTACCTTCCGGAGCAGTGCTTGGGATGGCAGGGACAAGAGAGGACACTCAGTCAGTCTCTCGGCACATATTTATTGAATCTCTACCTCAAATCAAAGATGTCCACTCTGCATTAACTTTCATATATGGCGTTTGGTCGGGGTCCAATGTCATTCTTTTGCATGTGGACACCCAGTTTTCCCAACACCCCATGTTGAAAAGAGTGTCATTTCCCCATTGAATCATCTTGGCCCCCATGTTGAAAATCATTTGACATATATACAAAGGTTTATTTTGGGGCTCTCTATTCTATTCCATCGGTCTATATATATGTCTTTATGCCAGGACCACATTATCTTGTAGTACGTTTTGAAATCAGGAAATGTGTGGGGCACCTGGGTGACTCAGTCGTTAAGCCTCTGCCTTTGGCTCAGGTCATGATCCCAGGGTCCTGGGATGGAGCCCCGCATCAGGCTCCCTGCTCAGTGGGAAGCCTGCTTCTCCCCCTCCCACTCCCCCTGCTTGTGTTCCTGCTCTCACTATCTCTCTGTCAAATAAATAAAATCTTGTTTAAAAAAATTAAAAAAATAAAATCAGGAAGTGTGAGTCCTCCAGTTTTGTTCTCTTTCAAGATTTTTTTTTTTTTTTTGGCAGTTCAGGGTCCCTTGAGGTTCCATATGAATTTTAAAATGGATTTTTTTCAACTTTTACAGAAAACGTTGGGATTTTAATAGGGATTGGTTTGAATCTGTAGATCACTTTGGGTGGTATTGACATCTTAATCCATGAACAAGAAGTGGCTTTCCTGGGGCGCCTGGGGGGCTCAGTCAGCTAAGCATCTGCCTTCCGCTCAGGTCATGATCCCAGGTCCTAGGATTTCGAGCCCTCTGCGGGGAGCCTGCTTCTCCCCCTGCCCCTCCCCCTGCTTATGAGTTCTCTCTCTCAAATAAATATAATCTTAAAAAAAAAAAAAAGAAGTGGCTTTCCAGTTATTAGTGTCTTCTTTAACATCTGTTGGCAACATTTTGCAGGGTTTTTTAAATTTTTTTGCAGGTTTTTTTTAAAGGGGTTTTTTTTTTATTAGAGAGTGCGCATGAGCAGGGGGAGGGGCAGAGAGAGAAGCAGACTCCCCGCTGAGAGGAGGGGGTCTGATCCCAGGTTCTCATGACCTAAGCTGAGGACAGACACTTCACCGACTGAGCCACCCAGGTGCCCCCATCTTGAAGGTTTCATCATACAAATTTTTCACCTCCTTGGTTAAAGTATTTTATTCTTTTGTATTCTTTTGATGCTGTTGTAAATTGTCTTAACTTTTTAAGGTTGTTCATTATAGAAACACAGCCAATTTTTGTGTTGATTTTGCATCCTGCAACTTCACTAAATGTATTAGTTCTAACAGGATTTTTTTTTTTTTGGTGGAAAGGGAAAATTTTTTAATTTTCCAGTTGAAGAGGAAAGTGATGGATCTTAAACAGCCATGTAAATCTTCTACCCACCGGCGTCTCGGCAGGAACATGCTGGGTAAATGACTTTCATGGAGAACTGAGCTGAAGGATGCCTAGGTTTTCCATTCTCCTGGGTAATCTATATGTTGTCATTAAGCCTGACCATAAAGGAGGGTCTCTGTATAGAGCCCCTCGTGTGTAGCCACTCTTATTTTTTTTTAAATTTTATTTATGTATTTCTTTGACAGAGACACAGCGGGAGAGGGAACACAAGCAGAGGGAGTGGGAGAGGGAGAAGCAGGCTTCCCATCGAGCAGGGAGCCCGATGCGGGGCTCGATCCCAGGACCCTGGGACCATGACCTGAGCCGAAGGCAGACGCTTAACGACTGAACCACCCAGGCGCCCCTCTTGGATTATTTTTGCTTACATGTTTGTAATGCATTATTTAATTAGGTTGAACACGCACTACACTCCTGTGGTACAAAATTCAGAAGGTACAAAAGGCTGCATAATGAAAAGTCAGTCTCTTACTTTTATCACCCTCCACCCGGTTCCCGTCCCCAGAATCAGTGGCTTCTTTAGATTCCTCCCACCAGAAATGACCTAGGGTGTATACAAGCATTTAAGTATAGACACTCTTTTTTTTCTTTTCTTTTTTTTTCACTTATAGCCATTATTCTACCCCTTGCTTTTTTACACTTCCCAATATATCTTGGTGATTATTTTGTATGAGTACCTAAATTGCTCTTCTTTCTTTTTCTTTTTTTTAATTTTATTTATTTATTTGTGTGAGAGAAAGAGAGAGAGCACAAGGAGGCGGAGCAGCAAGCAGAGGGAGAGGGAGAAGCAGGCTCCCCATGGAGCAGAGAGCCCGACGTGGGGCTCGATCCCAGGACCCTGAGATCGTGACCTGAGCTGAAGGCAGACGTCTAACCGACTGAGCCACCCCGGCGCCCCACTCCTCTTTCTTTTTAATAGCTGTGTAGTATTCCATCAGATGTCTGTATCTTAATGTGTTTGATGGACATTGAGGTTGTCTCCAATTTTTGATATTACAGAACAATTATTAGGATTACTCGTGAATGGCATTTCAGTGCCACAGCCCATCCTGAGGAACATTCTGAGAAATGGCTGTTACTGTCTCTGTGGTCGAGGTGCCCCTCAGAGCATCCATTGCCTTCTTCATCTGGGGTCATCGTTAGGTGGACAGTGGAGGAATTCCTCCCAAGTTTCTGTACCAGGGTTAAGGTGATGCTTCTGAGTTCTGGGTATTTTCCATCTTGTAGACTCTGGTTCATGTACTGAATTGTTGGTACCTCTTAACTTTGGCCGCTAAGGTTCTCGGGACCGAGTGTCTGGGCCTTGTTAGCAACTGTACAGAACTACTCATTACCTGTTAGTGGATACTAATCCTACTCCTACTTCCATTATTTTCCCTCCCTTTACTTTCCTTTCACTTCAATTCCCAAAGCTATTTGTTTTATTCCTTGACATTGCACACATTTTTGCAAACCATCTCAAGTTCTTTATGTAACAAAGTGGTATAAATAAACATAAACCAAAATATATCCATCATACATAAATAAAATACGAATTTGAGTCGAGCACCTAGAAGAAGCCTTGACGTCCCTTCAGCTGCCCAGGCTAGTGTGGTCTGCAGACCTCCCCGCCCCTCCCCCAGCCTCTGTAGGTAGGGTCCCCCAGCTGTCCTGCTTCAGCCGGTTCCCGTGGCCCAGGAGCCCTACTCCAGCAGTTATGCTCGTCCATCAAAATGCTCCCAGGCCCTGTTGTCTCCGGCAAAGGCTGAGGAGAAAACCTGACTCCCACACTCCATAAACCCTTTCCTGGAGCAGGGAAGGAGGAGAGAATTCCTGGTGGCTTGCACCCTGCCCCACATCAGGGGCTGCTCTGGGGTCCTGCTACGCAGGCGTTCCTCTTCCCCACGCGTCTCTCAGCTGCCTGCCCACATCACCCCACCCACCAGTGTTCTTTTGCCTCAGTGTGAGAAAGCAATTTGCATCCAACCAGCAGGATTAAATAAGATAGATGGAGGTAGCCTGCTTTCTCATCTTAGAAACCCCTTTCATCTTGCAGAGGCCTCCGTGCAGATAGAGCAGTTTTGTTTTTTTGTTTTTTTCTTTAAGATTTATTTATTTGAGAGAGAGAGAGAGTACATGAGAGGGGGGAGGGTTAGAGGGAGAAGCAGGCTCCTTGCTGAGCAGGGAGCCTGATGCGGGACTCGATCCCGGGACTCCAGGATCATGACCTGAGCCAAAGGCAGTCGCTTAACCAACTGAGCCACCCAGGCGCCCCTAGAGTAGTTTTGTATTAATGTGTCCCCTGCAGGCTGAGTTTCAGGTTTGGGGTTGATTGGCCTCAGAGAGGCCGGGTGAGTGACCCAGCTTGGGAACACTGCAGTCTATGGAGAAACACGCTTGGGGTCCTCATGAGTGGCTTTAGCTCCTGCACAGGACTGCTGTTCTAAGTTAGAGGAAGGGAGGGAGGACAGGTCTGTTCGCAATACCTGGGGTGGGCATGGGGCACCTGAGCAGTGCTATGGGAAATGGGATTCAGGGGTTCAGGACTCAGAGAGACATCCAGGGTGCTGCTCTCCCAGCACTTCTCTCCTTGGGCCTTTTCCAGAACTGAGTTTGATCTTTGTAATCCTCTGCATCTTTACCTACACAATGGGCTTTTAATATGACTGGGCTCACAGAGTGGTTGAGGATAAGTCACAATAGCTCTTACCATACCACCCGTCATTGTAAGTACTTTACATACAAGTAACTCCTTTAGTCCTTATAGCACTCTTGGTTATTATTATCCCCATTTATCAGGGGAGGAAACTGAGGCTCTGAGAGCTTAAGTAATTTGCCCAAGTTCACACAGCTCGTGACTGACGGAGCTAAGATGTGAACCGAGGTAATCTGGCCCCAGAGTCCGTGCCTTTACGCACTAGGACTCTGAGACTTGTCTGCAAAGGTCCTGGGGCAGTTCCTGGCATGGTGGGGGAATGGTTTCCTGGCTGGCCTGGGAGGTGAGGTCTAGCAGAGGTGATCTAGGTGATTCTCTGGCAGCCCCACGTACCCCTTCCCCAGGTTGGCCGCCCTTCTGGCATGTCTGGGGTGTAACTCCATCTTTGTACTTAGCACCTTGAGCTTGGGTTAAGATTCTCTGTTTATAGCTCTGTCTTCCCTCTCCTCTGCCAGCAACTCTTCCCTCCCATATCCCAGCACTTAACATGGTTCTTGATAGATAATAGGTGTTTAAGGTTTACTTAAAGATTGTTTCTTCTTTGTTTTGCACTGGGCCCCTGAGAGTTCCCTGGGAGGTGACCTTGTCCTCCCGGAGGGAGACCCGGGTCAGAGACGTCCCTTTAATCTAGCTTTCTGCTTTGTCTGCTCATGTCTCAAGCAGGCTCTGTCAAGGGCCCTTTAAAAATCTCCTTATAATTGTTATTGTTTTGCAGCACAAGAGCAAATTATGCCTTTGAAAAAGGAAGGTGAACATTACAGGAATTTTGAAAATGAAAGTCCTCCCTAGTCTGCTCTACCAGCTTGGCTCACCTGCAGAGTCTCAGACCACTCCCACCCTGACCTGCTGAATCAGGTCCTGCATTTAACAGGATCCCACGGACTCAAGCCACCTGGAAATGTGAAGAGCTGGCAGCAACCCTCCTTCGCCCTGAGCCCAGCCAAGACAACAAGTGTCACCAGGTTTGTGTGCATGAGAACCTTTGAAAAAGCACACTTTTCTAACCTCTCAGCAATTATCTGCAATTTTCTAACCTCATCTAAAGCCAAAATGCTCGTCAAAGTCATCCAGCAGAAAGCTAATAAAGACCTCATTATCTAGTCTGTCTGCTTCCACTCCTGCCCCCTCTCCAACCCATTCCCCCACCCCCAGCAACCATGGTGATCTTTTTAAAACATAAATTAGATCATGTCACTCTTTGGCTTAGAATCCCGTGGTGCCTTTCCATTGCCCTGGGAACTGGGAACACACCCCAGCCTCCTCACCGCCAGTCCCCGCCCCCCTCCTTGCCGCCCTCAGTCCTGACACACTGGCCTTCCCTCTCGTCTGGCTCCAAGTCTTTGCAGCCTCTGCTCCTGGCCCAGGTGCCCTTTCTCCCTCCCCTGGCTGGCTCCCGTTCAAGCTTCCGGTCTCAGCTTCCACGTCACCTCCTCAGAGATGTGAGAGGAGATGGGGTAAGCAGCTCCTGCCTGCCAGTACTCTCCATGACTGTCCCCAGCTGTGGGCGGGACAGCCTCCCAGTAGGAGTGTGAACCCCAGGAGGGCAGGGACCGTGCTCTGCTGGCTCTCCCTCAGACTTCACACAGCGCCTGTAGGTAGGGTGTTAGCTCTCAATAAACAGCTGTTGACTTGTGGTAGCTTCCTGGAGATCAGGTATATTAACATCATCACCACTGGTTTACAGGTCTGTTGAAGTCACAGAAATAATAGATGCTAATTATATAGGTTTTAAAACTGGAGGGAGGAAAAAAATGAAAACTAACATCCTTTTTTCCCTCGATTTCCTTCCCACCACAAAAGTAACCACTGGTAACGGTTTGTTTTGTCTCCTTCCCAAATTGCATTGCCCTTACACACACACACACACACACACACACACACACACACACACACTCAAGATTGTGATATCAGTATTGATTCTATTCTGCAACTTGCTTTTCTTTATATTGTGGTAAAATACAGAGGCACCTGGGTGGCTCAGTCTGTGGAGCATCCAACTCTTGATTTCGGCTCAGGTCATCATTTCAGGGTCATGAGATAGAACCCTGAGTTGGGCTCCCCACTCAGCACTGAGTCGGCTTGGGGCTCTCTCCCTCTCCCCCTTCCCTCCCCCTGCTCGTGTGTGTTCTCTAAATAAATAAATAAGTAAATAGAATCTTTTTAAAAATATTGTAAAATATGCAAACATGAAATTTACTGTCTTAACTGGGTTTTTTTTTAAAGATTTTATTTATTTAAGAGAGAGAGAGCAAGCATGAGCAGGGTGAGGGGCAGAGGGAGAAGCAGACTCCCCTATGAGCAAGGAGCTCAGTGCGGGACTCGATCCCAGGACCCCGGGATCATGACCTGAGCCCAAGGCAGACACTTAACCGACTGAGCCACCCACCTGTCTTAACCATTCTTAAGTTTACGGTTCAGCAGTGTTTATGTATGTGGCTTACAACTGATCTCCAGAACTTTTTCATCTTACAAAACTGAAGCTGTACATCTATTTTCTTTTATACCTTTCTAAAGATTTTTTTAATTTATTTGACAGAGAGACACAGCCAGAGAGAGAACACAAGCAGGGGGAGTGGGAGAGGGAAAAGCAGGCCTCCCGAGGAACAGGAAGCCTGATGTGGGGCTCGATCCCAGGACCCTGGGATCATGACCTGAGCTGAAGGCAGACGCTCAGTGACTGAGCCATCCAGGCACCCCTTTTAGATTTTATTTTTAAGTAATCTCTACACCCCACGTGAGGCTCGAACTCATGACAACGAGATCAAGAGTGGCTCGCTCCACCGACTGAGCCAGCCAGGTACCCCTGAAGCCAGACACCTATTAAACAATTTCCTCATTTCCCCCTCCCCCAGTCTCTGGCAACCACCACTATTCTACTTTGTTTCCTTGAGTTTGAACAACTTGCTTTTTGAACTGAATCTGTCTTCCCATGTGGGCTGGTGGGATCTAGCCCATTACTCCTACAGCCGCCCAGTATTCCACAGGAGCTGCAGCTCATATTTAACCAGGCCCCTCTCAGTGAGATGGAGGTGGTTTCCAGTTTTCTGCTATTACAGAAAAGCTGCGGTGCCACGGTGAAGTCCCGGGACGCCGAGGTCAGAGAGCATGTACTTCCATTTTGCCAAACTGCTGCTCAAAGAAGTTGTACCAGGTACCCTCCCACCCACAGAAGATGAGAGGGCCGCTCTTCGCTTCTTCCCAATATCAACCAAGTAAATCCTATGGTCCCATCCCAGGGACTGGAGGGGCCGGCTTTGGAAGGAGGCTCAGTGGCTCCCTTCCTAGGTGGTTTCCCTGGGGAGAAGCCTGGGGCGTTTGGCTGGTGGCGAGATGGGAATTCAGCTGCTGGAGGTAGACACAGGAGGAAGTCTAATTCAAAAGCCATATCATGAGTGGACTTGGGAAGGAGCTCGTTGCCGTGGCAGCCTGATTCCCCTGCTGCCAAAAGCAGGTTTTCTTCTTCTGCACCTGGCAGGAGCTCCTTTCCTCTCAAGATTTTTTGAGAAAGAAAGAGTTTGGCATTCTTTTATTGAGGTCAGTGCACATTTGCAGACAGGACCACCCTGTCACTGACATAATGTGATTCTCCGGTGTCCCCTGGAGGCAAGGACCTGGCTGAGCCCCATTCTCGTGGTGCACAGATGCACCTGGGTCTCTTGCCTCAAACACCGGAGTGATGGACCCCACCAACCTGCACTGTCTTTACTGATACTCCCCAGGGTGGCAGGTGGGCAGAGCTCCCAAGGAGACTGCTATGTTCCCTTCACAAGAAAAGGTTTTCTAGATTTTGTTTTGTTTTTTTTTTGAGTGTGCCAAAGGTCAAGGTCAGGGAAGCCTGCTTGAGCAGGCCTCTTAAACCAGTCCCTGGTTTAAATCACTTTGCTCTGCTTTCAGGGCATTTAACTTTGAAAACACTGATTGGAACAGAGCAGAATTAAACTGTTTTGACCTGTTTCCCCTGTATCAGGCTCTGTGCTAGGCACACTGTGAGCATGCCCTCGTCTAATCCTTTAACTCAGTAAGGTGGGAATTATTATCCCCATTGTTCTAAGAATGAAATTTGAGGCTCCAGAGCTTAAGTTATTTGCCCAAGATCTCAATGCAGAAATTATGAACCCGGCCCTACCTTGGCCTCAAGGTCACGTTCCCCACCCCCACCAGTAGATAATTTGAAGCCAGCAAAGAGGTCTGTGGGGACTTGATGCACCAGCTTCACCTGCTCCCCTCACCTGACGGTCCCCACCTCCCTCCCTAATCAGGCAGTGAGTGTGGTGGGGAAACACGGGGGTGTGGAGGTTTGAATCCATACTAGCTGTGGATCCTGACCTTGTCTGAACCCCAGCCTCAAAACAGAAATATGGGAAACCCGCCCTCTGGGTTTTGTCTGTTTGTTTTTTATAAGAACACTTAGCGCTGTGGGGAGGATTCAGTGAACCGAGAAGGAAGGATCCCGTGATGTGACTCTTCTGTTAAGCTCAAAACAGCGCACATCTGCCCCCAGCCCTTAGGAGCTGTTTCTACTTTCTCTTACACAGTCTCCCCTATGGGAAGGTGCTTCCCTAGCCTCCAGGGTATATGACAGTATTGATTTGTATCCTTGAATTTGATTTTTCTACATCCTATCCCAGCAGCAACCATCCCTGGAGCCATTCCCAGGAGAATCTTGTGCCACTCACACACACAGTCTCCACCTCCCAGGCCGGCAAGCCACCCTTTCCCCACAAGCCCACCCCCTCCAGCAGGCCTCTGAAATGTTGCCGTGGGCGTGCTGTGCTTCCCAGCCTTCGAAGCACAGCCTGGGTGACCAGTGGCCTGGGTAGCAGGTGCACACATTCAAGGAAAAATGCAAGGACAATGTTGCTTTTCTGGTTCCTGTAATTTATCTGAGGAGCCCTGCCCCCCCAACCCCCCATCCCCACCACTTCGGGGAAGGAGAAAGGAAACCTAATTTGCCAGTTCATGGTGCTACAGTGAACAAAAAAACTTAAGAGAAATGTACTCTGTCACCAAGGCCAGAAAACTGAAATCCAGAAATCCATGTCTCTCTTCTAGCTTCTGGTGTTCCTGGGCTCGCGGACACCTTACTCCAGCCTCTGCCTCAGTCTTCACAGACCTTTCCCTCTGTGTCCCTGTGTCCCTCTCCTTTGCGAAACATCCAAGGACATAGGTCTTTGGATTTACGGCCCACCCTGAATCAAGGATCTTATCTTGAGACCCTTAACTTAATTACATCCGCAAAGACCGAATTTCCAAATAAGGTCATATTTGAAAGTGTTGGGGATGAAGACTTGGTCAGATCTTTTTGGAGGACACTATCCAAACTCATGACATGCCCTTTTGGTTCTCAACCTTTTTGCAACATTTGACACTCGTGATCACTTTCTCTTGGAAACTCTTTTCCATCTTTTCCTGGAGCCAATCCTACTTTTCTGGCTGGTCCTCCACAAGCTCTTCTACTGGCACCTCTTCTTCCCAGCCCTGGAAGGCTAGCATCCCTAAGATTCTGTCCTGTCCTTAAGTCTCTTCCTCTCCCAGTCTCCCTCAGGCAATCACAGTCATTCCCAAGGTCTTTGACAAGACACAACAGAATCATCCTGGGATGTATGAGTCCATGGTATTGCAGATTTTAGGACTAGAATGGATCTTTGCCTTTACCTGATGGCAATGGGAAAGGAATATTATAGGGTCAGAAGAGTGGCAAAAAGGAAGACAACATTTTGAAATTTCCCTGGTCTTGGTGTTCGGATGTATTGGATTGGAGAAGGAGATTAGAAAACTGGGGACCTTTGGGAAGTTTCTGCTGTAATCCAAGTATGTAATGAGGAGGGCTTAGATTAGTATGCTACCAAGAGAGACAGAGAAGGCAGAAGAGAACTTGTGTTCATCTACTGTGTGCCACTTTATATATGTTTCAAGTCTCACAACAACCCTGCAAGGAATATATTCTTACCTCCGTTTTAGAGATTAAAAAACTCAGAGAGGTTAAGTGATTTACTCAAGGTCACACAGCAAGTTAATGGCCATGCTGGGGTATAAATCCATGTGTCTCTGAGTCTAGAAGTTAGATGGAAGGAATGAATCTGTGAAATAATTTAATATAAGG